CTTTCACCTCGAACAACTCAGTACTCGTATGGCCATCAGAAACTTTATCCTCATTCTCTTGCATAAAACATTTCAGCGTCCATGTGTCCTCCCTCCCCTGTCCCACTTTCTCTCTCCCCTACCTCTCTCCCCTAAACCATCTCAGTCTCAATTTAACTCTATATTTGCCCCCTTCTCTCTCAAAATCTCTCCCTCTTAACCCACCACAATCTCTTTCTCTCTTACTTCACTTCACCTCAAACACCTCAGTATATGTATAGCCTAGTATCTCCCCCGACTTTTGTCTCTCATCACTTGATTCGGAGTAACCCCCCTCCACTGTCCTCTTCTCTTCCATGGACTCTCTATCCCCCCCCCCACCCAATTTCTTTATCTCTTTCTCTCCCACCTAAAACATCTCAGTACCTGTATAGCCTTGTCTCCCCTCATCAAAAGCATCTCAGTTTTGCAGTAGCCTTATATCTATCCCCTCTTTCACACTCCCTCTATCCTCTCTCTCACCTAAAACATCTCAGTATCAGTACAGCCCTGTCTCTCCTCATCTAAAATATCTCAGTTTCACAGTAGCCTTCTACTATCTATTCCTCTTTTCCCCACTCCCTCTAACCTCTCTCTCACCTAAAACATCTCAGTATCTGTATGGCCCTCAGGTACTGGCCACCAGTCAGATATTCAGCCAGGGCAGCCACAGCCTCCTGCTTACTGACCACCTTGGTGTCCACATTGAACGGTGAGGCTTGACCATTGTCCAGCTCCTCCAGAGCCAGGACCAGCTCTTTACGCACCGAGATGACCTGGCCAGACATGTCATTCACCTGCAGGACAAAGAACAAGATGTGGACAGCCTCATGATTAACCTGTTTATTTGTTGGTTTGAGTAAAGAGAACCACATCGACATAATAATAGTCATTTAGTACTCAGGTAAAACATAAGACAGACAAGTAGAAACAACAGAATGAAAGACAAGAAATATGACCAACCGGTGAAACCCTTCAACCATCATTCTGCGAGAGGGTTTTTTGTGTGTTTTGTTTGAATTAACAGAAGTACATTGACATAACAGTGGTTATTCAGATCTGAGAAAAAGAAAGACATAGAAACAATAGAGAAAAAGTAACAAAAAGAATTTTAGCTCACATTATTTTTATACTATTTATAGAGCATGTCAACTCATGATTTTTTTGAGGACCCAAAGATCAATCTCATCAGTTGTTTAAAAATAAAACAAAGAGTTGATAAATTTCTTAATAATTATAATTCAGATTTTAAAAATATTTGTACAGCACATATCTCCGCTAAACAGCGAGCTCTATACGCTTTACAACCTTACTTATTTACCCCAGCAGACCCAATTACACTCAGAAACATTCTTGGTTCCTGCTAAACATGCATTGCAAGCAGCTGATTAAGCACTAAAACAATCACAAAATGACAAGATTATTTTTTCTATAGCCTGATATCCATTCCCATTCAAGAAAAGGGAGGAAAATTCTTGTAAAGGGCCTTTCCCTATGACTTAATGTAAGGCCCCTGACAGGGAATAAACCCACGACCTTTTGGTTGTGAGCCAACAGCCTGATCACGAGACCACCAAAGCCACAGTTACATGGAGAGAGCATAACATCATCAATATTTGACATCAATGTCGAGTCCCCCCCCCCCCAACAAGCAAATTGTCCAACGGAGGTGAGCTATTTGTCTCTGTACCGTGGACTATGCGTACAATGGCCGACTAAAACAGACCTATCAATTAAACTCAACAGTCACCTTGTGAGTTTACCTTTTGAGAGTGTGCGTGTGCATGGGAGTGTGTATGTGTGTGTGTGTGTGTTTGTATGTGTGTGTGAGTGTGTGTGCACATGTGTATGGGCGTCTGTGTGAGTGTGCAAAATTTCTGTGGCAATGCATCATGTATGCCTATGTGCATGCATGCACATGTGTTAGTGTGTGTGCGTGTGTGAGTGAGTGAGTGTGCGCGCGCACGCGCGCGCGTGTGTGTGTGTGTGCGTGCCTGCGTGCAAGTGTATGTGCATGTGTGTGCGCGTGCGTTTGCACATGTGTGTGTATGAGCGTGAGTTACCTGTGGGGAGGCTGTGACCAGGTGGAAAGCGTCCAGAAGCTTGAGGTAGGACTCAAACAGCAGGACCAGCTGGAACAGGAGCTTGTACAGGCGGTGACACAGCTCCACTTGCTGGAAGAGGGGGTGGTTGGGGAGGTGAGAAATAAAGGAGAGGGTGGGGGGGAAAAGGAGAGAAGATTGGGTTGGTTGGAGAGGTGAGAAATGGAGGAACGAGGGGGTGGAAGGAAAAGAATGAAGGAAGAAGGGGGAGGGGAGAAAGGGGAGAAAGGGGAGAAAAGAAGAGGAGAAAGGAAGGGGCAGAGATAAGGGAAAAGAGGAGGTGAATATGGGTAGGGAATTGAGGAGAAGGAAGGCGAAAAAAAAAGACACAAGGGGATGTTGAATTAGTTTGAAAGAGAGAAAATCACATAGCAAGATAACAAAAAAAGCAAGACACAGAAATGACTGTCATTAATTTAATACAGATAAACTAACAAACTTCTACATGCCATAAAGAAATTGAGTGACTAGAGACAAAATAGATGAGTCTAAAACTTTCTGTTCCACAAAATAAACAATAAGCTTCTGAAATAGTCGAAACTGTCCAAAACGGCCACCCATTTTCAAGGACAAAAGTGAATGTTTAAGATAGGTGAACGTTTTGGACAGTGTTATTATAATATATTTTTAAAAAGCACAGGGGAGAGGAGTGGAAAGTGGTCATTTGTACAGGCGATTGTCTTGAACAGTTGGCTGTCAGAGTCACTACATTACCTTCACTGTCCTCAAATGACAACTCCCAACACTTAACAGCTTTGTCTGACAGTAATACTTTATCAATTACATTTGACTGCTGGAATGTGTCCTCCACAGTCCTCTTTAGCCCTGACATGTGGGCCAAGAAACTCACTTCCTCAAAGACCTAAATTGTGTTGATGGGGATATATATAAAATGTCAGAAAGCTAAAATGTATTAAGCCAAAAAAGCAAAATATTACTGGAGAGACAAATAAAAACGTTTCATTTTTTTAACAATTGTACCAACACTATATAAACTTTCCTCGCTTTCGTCAATAATTACAATTTGAATTCGACAAAACATTTCTCGAGCTCATGCAGCTAATACCAGTTTTATCAATTGCATTTTTTCTTTTTTCTTTTTTTTTTTAAATTGGAGGCTTAGTACATTTTTGACTGCTCGCCAACAATATTATTATATCAATATTTCAATAAAAACTGACAAGGTATAAGCATAATTACCTGCTCCTCTCCGCAGAAGATGAAGGATCCTCCATCCCCGAGCGACTGCTGCTTGATGGAGGACTTGAGACTCTCCAGACTCTGGGACATTACAGAACAACCAACAATGAATTTATATAGCTATATTACATGTTAACTTTGTTGCAGTAAAAGTTCTAAGACACTTGCAACACAGTTAGATCACATAAAATGCTGCAGATTAGAGCTGTTACAAGAAAGTAACATACACAAAAAAGAAGGAGGAGAGATAAGGACGATAGATGATCGATAGGAAAGATTTAAAAATGAGCAAACCACACCAGAGCACCCGTCAACCACCCATTACATGCAAAATGAAGAAATATACCTGTACATTAAGTTCATATCTTACTGACACCAAGAGTACATAAAGTACATAAATTTCATATTTCAGGCTTGCCAACTTTTTCGAAACCAAATTAGGGTCATCAAAAGTTACGACATCAGATTACATAATAATGCACACAAATACATCACGTTGGATTGGTTTTGTTGTCATGTACGTGACAAGACTAAATTCCTGATTGCCAAATCCTGGAGTCCTGGAAAATTTAGGGCGTTAGCAAGCCTGATATTTTATTATTGAGCATCAACTCTTTATTTCTGAGAGGGTCAAACCCACTACACTGGGGCCCTTTTTCGGTACTAAATCTAAAAATGACAAATACGTCACTTAATTGGTCATTAAAACAAAACAAGTGAATCTATTTTAAAAGTTCTTCATCTAATGATATTACCACCAGTAAAAGAGACCTGTTCTCGGCAATTGTCGAGAAGTAGGCCTAATTTAAATTCGAAATCATCGTAAAGGAATGTGCTGGGAGCGGCGTACCGGAGATAAGGAGTTCATCTATAAAAGAAGCGAGTAGCACAAAGACATACTCAGGAGGACACTTTTGTCATATTTCACTGTAAGACAATTTTGTATCATGAGCGAAAAGCACAACATCAGATAATCATAAGTACACATACTTCACGTTTTGTGATTGGAAATTGCTGCATATAAAGTAAGTAGCAGTTTACAATTTGTTACATTTGAGTATACGAAACGACATCAACACAAAAATGGTAGTTAAATGTGGAGGAAAAGTACAAGACATATAAGCGGTAAAAACATGGAAAGTAAAGAAGTAGGACTTGCAAGTGGCACTCTTTAACTACTAGCGCATCACATCAGACATTCACAAATTTGTGTGCATATACACATGCACAAGTGTGGAAGTATGAAAGTGGAAGTGTGAGTATTTGTGCATATGTCCATTCATGTGTGTGTGTGTGTGTGTGTGTGTGT